CTTTAGTCTTTGCAACTTTACAGATCTTCTTTATGCACCAAGAGCTTGTAACACTCCAAAGAGAAAGGAAATATTGAAATCACATCATATGACCCCTTTAAATATATAATAGATAAATATATAGATTAAATATATAAACCTCTCATCCTGAGTGGATTTGAGAATCTTGTGCTGCGGTGCAGGACTTTGTTTGGCTGAACTGGCTCCTGATGGCGGGCCTTTGTACTCTAAACAGCAAATCAAAACAGATTGTCATATGAAATGATAAACATCAAGTGTTAAAAGTCCTCATGAAACTGCATTCGCAACACTTCTGTAACAGGGCTCTAGACTGCGACCAAAAAGGTCACATATGCCACGTCCGCTATAGTTTCCTCATCATTTTTATCACGCACACCTGCGTGCTTGTGTAGACTTGAAGCGCTCTCACTGAAAGCGCCTCTCACTCTCTTCACCTGATCAGTGAAATTTGACTTCTGCCGCACTTTGCTCTACAGTGCGCCCTGGATGGAGCAGAGCAGACACTTTCAGTTTACAATTGTAGCGTCCGTTGTCCAACTGAACTGAATGGTTTTTATTTCTTACTGAAAAAGTTGGAAGAATGAGTCTAGAGCCCTGTGTAATGTGACATATTACTGATTAATGTTTCACAATATCATCTGGAAGATTTGAACTGCAAAAGCCTGTGCCAATTAATGCTATTTTATTGTATCATATTCATACATGTGAGCTAAAATGTATTAAACACGACAGATATAAATGAACTTTGTATATTCATGTTTTGTAGTTGAAATAGGCTAATAATTGGTTTAAGTGCCCTTTATAAAGCATTCAATTTAAATATGCATGCATAATTGATATTAATTTTCACTTTGGTTATTAGCATTTCAATGTTAGTTACATTATTGCCCAAGTGTGACAAATCAAAGCATGAGGCACAGTTTGAGAAAGCACGAATATGTGCTGCGGCAGTATTTATGTGACATTTCATTATCTCACTCACCGTCCTCAGGAACCACGGTGAGTGTGACAGAGTTCCCTGCGTCTTTGATAAGCTGAACAATATCATTGTGGGAGAGCTCCACAATGGACTGGCTGTTCACAGAGGATATGCGGTCACCCACATTCAGCAATCCGCAGCGGTCAGTCGGACTGTCCTCGATTATTCGACCAATCTTATGAGGAATCACTGAAACACACACTTAGGCAAATCACTTAGCAGAATTGGAACAGCTTGTGTTGTATTTTTAACCATAACGAATGAATCATAAGAAATTTAACAATAATGAGGTTGTGCAAAACTGAAAAACAGCAGGATGGAGTGGAGGCAGAGGCGGAGGCAGGGGGGGTTGATATTGGGGGGATCTGAAGGTACTTTTAAATTTAAACTGCTATATTTTTATCATGACATCTTAAAATCAAAATAAATAAAAATGCAACACTGGTGACGCAAGTTGCTCAAAGAACAGTGCAAGCTGCAATACAACCACGATTGACTTCTATTTACATATGTATGGCTAAAGTGACGATAAAGAGGAAATTCCATCTAACAAAACCACCTAACAGTTCTGGTCCAAGTAATGATTGATCCAAAATTATTAAATTAAATTAAATTTTAAATTAAATTATAACATAATTATTAAATAAAATTAAATATTTACTAGTAAAATATTTTAATGTTTTTTTATTAAACTGCCATTTATTACAAAACTGTTCTAAATGTTTATTTTAATAATACATCTTCAAGATTTGTTTGTTCTCTTTGAATGATGATATCTAATTTTTTTTTGTTTATTTGCCGAATGAATTTGGCTGGTGCATCAATGAATCCGCTGTTACCTCCAGGTGGCGGTTTGTTCTTCGATGTGAGAATGACAAAGCCAAAGCCCTCGTTATCTTTACGATGGAGCGTGATATCAAACGACCCCTGGTCCTTGACGCTTGGCACCTGGATACGTGGAAGCCGAGGTGAGCCATTTACAAGGGTCAGCGCTCCACTCCCAACATCCTCCGGGGCATCTATAGAGCAGAAGTTTACACAGACTGACCTTTAATGAAAGCTTTTCAGGCAGTTAATTACAATCCAGTGCTGGTTTTATGTCTAAGGCCTGTCAGTCAGCAGTGCTCGCCTTTGTAAATGACCTTCCTGCGCACTGAAAGTAGCACTTGTCCGTTGCGTGCTGCGTTAGTCATCAGATCCAGAACTTGCTTGTGAGATTTTCCCTTCACGGTGATGCAGTCGATGCCAACGAGCTCATCTCCGGTCCTCAGCCGGCCTTCCTTCTCTGCCGCCCCTTGGGGAATGATGGCACCAATGTAGACCTAATGATATTAGACAGATAGCTTGTTTTAGAACTAAGACAGAAAGTCAATCTGCTAATAAATCACATAAATACAGTCCATAAATAAATATCCAGTAATATGGTTACAGAAGAATGAGGGACTCACTGGTTGTTCAACGCCTTCTCCTCCAAGCACACGAAAGCCGAAGCCTGTCTCCTGATCTCTCTTGATGAACACGTCCAATTCTTTATAGTGAGGTACTGCATACAAATAGACATGGAAGTACAATAAATAAATTGGAGAATGTGGAATAAATCACACCCATCAATTCATCACACAAAAAAACAAAACAAAACAAAAATAAAAGCAACAGTATTTCATCAACCATGCATATGGCCTTTTCTATCTCTCTGCATTCAGATCATAAATTAAAAGGATAGCTCTCCCAAACATGTCATTTGAAAACCATATGATATTTTTTCCCATGATGCTCAAATGCTGATATTAAGCAGCAGCTCTTTTCCATGCAATAATAGGAAAAGTAATAATAATTGTTGGTGATTCAGACTGTAAAGTTCAAAAGGAAAAAAGTACCATAAAATAGTCCCATACAAACTATAGTCAAAGTCTCCTAGAGCCATTCAATAACTTTTTAACAAAAAAAATTGAAATTAACTGAAAATCTTCTGCTCATAAATCTCATTCAAAGTTTTACACACTTAAACCAATTGCGGAATATATGCAAGATCAAAACGTTTGCCCACGGCTCTCATTATATTGTCTCTAGTGTGCCATTTTCTCATGTATTATGATTTGAACATAAAAAAACAAATTTTTTATTACAAAAAAAAAAAAGTATTTAAATAAGATACATAAAATCAAATAAAATGTCATTTTATATATCATAATTGTCACTTAATATTTAATAATTTCAACTTTGTATAAAGCATTCAGCCAACTATTTTTAACTGATTTTCAACTCCAACAGATCCACACAACATGGTGCTGTAACATAAAACGTTTTCTCTTTGCAGGATGAGCTCAGCAGAGACTTTCAATACAATTAAAGGTGTGGTTCACTGGTTTTTTTTCTAGGCTTGATTGTGTTTATGGGGTGCAGTCTAACATGTGTTAATGCTACGTTTAAAAACAAAACGCATTATTTTTCACATAATGTACCTTTATACCACACCCCTTTGTCCCTTCTCTGAGAAACGGGCTGATCTTTTCCTGTTTTTATGAAGCCCCGCCCTCAGAAATAGGAGATGGGCTCTGATTGGTTAGCTAGCCCATTGTGTTGTGATTGGCTAAACTGCCTTTAGTGCACGTCTAAATGTTCCACCCCTCACCTCAGCGGCATGTGCTCCGGTTGTATTGTAAACAACGGCGTCGTTAATATCGCTTATCAGTTTGAGCCCGATTGAGAAGCAGAGGATATTATTGAAGAGGATCGTGCAGAACCTGTGCAAGCACGGCTTTTAATGGTAGGCCTATGTTTTTTGTTTGTTGTTGTCTCATACTTTTAGATATGCTGTTATTTGTAAATGCTACGGCTTATGTTAGCTTTTAATATACGGTTTTATCCTGATTAAAGCTTTAATACAGTATGGCAACTGCACGCGCGTCCATGTATAACGCTTCTCATAGCTATGTGAAAATAAGTGTATAATTGGAACAGTTCATTGTTGGAGCTGAGCTGAATGAGAGAGAGAGAGATGCAGAGTGTGTGCAGAGCAGGGGGACACGAGGTACAGTATTAAGAACCGCTGCTTTAGAACATTGATTTTGAAACTTGTGAATCCATTAGAATCGTTAGAAGACAGAATCACGATTCATATATGAATAGATTTTTACGTGCACCCCTAGTTTTCTCTTCCTCTTCTCTAAAGCAGTGCAGCATGGCCTCGCCCCCTTTGCTGCCTTTTACCGAGCGGGGTTTATCTGGGTTTGTGATGTCACGAACCCGGGAAGTAACTCGTTGTAGTCCCTACCAGCCGTTTTTGTAGGCATTAAACCGCCAGAATTTTAAAAGATGATACCTTCGTTTGCATTGAACTTTCAGCTTCGTAACTTTGCAGATATTGTTTATGCTCAAACAGCAACATTACACACTAACTAACGTTAAAAAAGTGAAATCGCAATCAACCACCCCTTTAAACAAAGAAAATGAAAAAGTAGCATATTCAATTTTGGGGTGGCCAATCAGATGTCAGGCTCTGGCTCCGCCACTGGACTCACCTATGCTGTCCTGCAAGGCTTTGGGTTTTCTGTAGTGGAGGGAAGCGTCTTGTTTTGGAGAGCTACATGGCAGTGTGTTTGAGTGATAGGTCAAAGCCTGGGGAACCATGGTGTCATGGCAATGGTCCAGAGTCTCAGTGCTGGCACTCAACCCCGGTCTCTGTTGTAATAAAATGTGTTTTAATACCACTTCACAAAGTGACCAGCAGAGTGCACACAGATGTGGACTATAACAAGCAGCATTTAAACTGTTCAATGGTCATATCTTCTGAAATAATAAAAGGAAGTGCCTACAGACAGATGAACTATATCAACAAAAATACTATTCTGTTTGGATCAGGCCTTCTGGTTAACAGGAAAATTCCCACACTTCATAAGCAAATAAATCTTCTGTGTCATGAGTGATACTGAAAAACTGTTGTGATGGAATATTTAAAGTCTGTCAGTAAACCCATTGGAAAATAAAGCCCAACACGCTCATACAATTAATGTTTTTGCCATTTAGCCTCATGTTACTGGTATTTCAAAGCATTATATTTTTAAACTAGATTTTTACATTTATTGTAGGAATTGTGAGTGGTGTCCATACAAAACTCAGCAACATGATATTAGTGTGGTTGCCAGGTTGTAGTTTACGGGCCAGAGTCAACTCATAAGTCTCAATGATATTCTGATCCCTCAAAACCCTTCTTCATTTTAAGAATATGGGATTGTTTTTTCCTGTTTCATCATTCTCAAGTGAAAATCGAACATCCTTTCACTTAGAAACTAGTACATGCCACACGATTCAGAACAAATGGTGTGGGACGTATCAGCTACTGAACTTTAGTACTTACAGAAAGGGGTTTGTTCAAATCCCAAACCCCAAGTACGATCAATAACTGAGAAGAGATTTCATCAGCACAAAATGAAATATTCAGCCATTTCCTCAATTCTACAAGATCATTATCACCTCTGAAATCTATTATCATACTCACAGGTCTTAAACTCTTCACAGGCGATGTCTGACCTAGAAACAGAGAAAAGGCCAATGAGAGACATAAGTAGCCGTGAAGAAGGAAAAATGGGGAACAGGCACTCAACAGACAGATGAAAAAAAACAGGAACTCGTTACTGGGATAGAAAGTTTCTAGCCTTATTATAATGACAGCGTTTCATGGTTGTTGCCTCTGAAACATGAAAAAGGCATGAGAATACACTGTTTCAATGCTACATTATTAATTCCCATCCATCTAACTAAAAAGCTACTCAAAGAGGAAGCATCATTCAAGTGCTTCAAAGTGGGGCGTTTCCTGAGCCAATTCCGAGCTGAGTTAATCATGACACATGTCATCTAGCAGCCATTAAAGATGGATAGAATAAATGTACATAAGAGAAAATTATGAATCCTCCAGGGAGAAAGACATCGCAAACGACAGAAGTCATGCATAAAATAATGATGCCACTATACTTCCATCTGTCAGTTTAGAACACACGCTGTTTATTCATTCCCTTTGTTTTTTCTTGTCTTTCTCTTGATTGGTGTGATTCCATTGAATTTAATGTCTAAACAATGAATGACAAAACTCATTCAGCCTTTGAGGGGTAATAGAACTGTTTAAAGCATTATCTTGCTCTCTTTCTCTCCCTTTTTCCCCCTTTCCCCCTCCTTCTCTCGCTCTGCAGACAATATATCCTTACAGAACTCTTTGCAGACACATCCTGAAATTCCCCTGTGATCTAAATTAATTTCCCAAATTCCCAGCCAGCCCCACAGAGTGGGTGCAAAAGATGCAACAGGGCCTCTCCCACCAACTGTATCAGAATCAACGGTCCATCATTCTTACATAACGTTGTCCTTAGGGACAGAAACACACCTCAACAATGATTGGTGAGAGTGGAGGAGAGGAGAACAAGTGTGGCTAAAATGTAAAATTATGAACTGGAGAAAATAATGCAACTGATTTCTCACCTGCTGAGCAATTGACATATAACCAAAAAAAAGAGACAAAGGGAAAAGAGCCTTTGTATAATTCCCTGCTGAAAAGTCTAGTAGTTGTGGATGCATGTTTGCTGTTGCTCCTATTAGGCTTGTTAATTATAATTTAAAAATATAATTCACCCAACAAAAGTGAAAATTCTGTAAGCATTTACCCTAATTTTATTCTAAACCATGTGTTTTTTTATTCTAATGTGGAACATGAAAGGTTGTGTTTTGCAAAATGTCCTCTGCTACATTGCATATTCATTTTCTTACTCAGTATTTTTTTCCAGTACAAATACCTAAACATTTTTAAATCAAAATATATTACTTGAGATGCAACAATGACATTAGATGCAAAATGTTGTTTTCAGAGAAATATGATTACAGTTATTTTTCTTATACCGCTGGCAGATTGTTTCCATTTTTGTAAACCACAATTCATTTAGCTATATTTCTCATAAAACAAATGTTATGTCATTTTGCATCTTAAATTAATCTTGAATTAAGAACATTTAGATATTTGTACTGAAAAACAAAACAACAATACTGTTCAAGAAAGTGACTTCCAGTGTACTCTTTCCATGAATCTGGAATTTTTCAATTTCTGAATTTGAACTGAATTCAAATTAAAATCCTAAACATGATGCAGAATTTGAATTTAAGGAAGTAACAATAAAACAAACTGAAGAAATTAATTAAACTGCAATAAGTGTAATTTTTACGAGACAAAGAAGATTTTTCAAGACAAACTTTAAACTTTTTTAATGGTGGCTTGACAAAGGCTTAAAGGATTAAAAAGTTTGACAGTTTTATTCATTTTCACATTTATATTCATGCTAGTCAAAGTTAAAGTCTTTAAAAGTCTTTTCAGCAGGGTTTTTACTAGAAATGCCTGAGATCTATTTTGAGTGTGTGATGGAGAACGGGGTAACATTTTAATTTAAAATGAGCAGGAATCTGTATTAAAGATAGGGACGGTCGCTATGTTATTACTGAAGGTGTATGGCAAGGTAAAAGTATTCTCATACTAAATATGTATTATCCTCCAGCTCATCCATCTGACTTTGTTACTAAAGTGTTTTTGGACATGATTGCCAGGCTAGCAGCTAGAAAGGTAAAAGTCCTGACATATGTTCTTCTTACAGGCCAATTGCATTACTGAATATTGACCAGAAATTGCTTTCTAACATTTTAGCAATGCGCCTTGAAAAAATTCTGCCTACTATAATTGGGACTGATCAAACAGGATTTATACAAGGTAGAAATTCATCTGATAATATTAGACGCCTTTTAAATGTTATTTACACCTTTAAAGTGAAATCCATAGATGGGCTAGTACTGTCTTTGAATGCGGAGAATGCGTTTGATCGGATTGAATGGTCCTATCTTTTTTTTGTTTTGGATCAATTTGGCCTAGGTAAAAATTTTGTGCTGTGGATCAGAGTGCTGTATACAGACCCATGTTCTGCTGTATTGACGAATGGCTTTAGATCAGATTATTTTCCTGTGCATAGAGGCACTAGGCAGGGTTGCCCCCTGTCGCCGATTTGCGATGGCTATAGAGCCTCTAGCTGAAGCAATCAGATCTGCAACATCTATTTCAGGTTTACAGATAGGACATATACATCATAAGATTGCACTGTATGCTGATGATGTATTGCTTTTTTTATCTGAGCCTGAGAAGTCAGTTCCCGCTCTAATTGAGTTGATTGACTGGTTCAGTACCTTTTCTTGTTATAAAGTTAATTTAACTAAATCTGAAGCTATGCATTTAGGTACTCTTATTTCTAAACCTAACATTGTGCCCTGTTTTCCTTTTAAGTGGTCACCTCTAGGTTTCGTCTATTTGGGTATTTCTATCTCTACATCTTTGAATCTGGTGTATGAATCTAATTTTGTTCCTTTATTTGAGAAAATACGGCAGGATTTAGAACGTTGGAATTCCTTGCCAGTGTCTTTGCTGGGTCGGATAGCACTTGTAAAGATGATTGTGTTACCCAAATTGTTATATCCTATTCGAATGGTTCCGATACTGTTTTCAAATAGGGCATTAAAGGGCCTAAATAGCTGGATGACTTCTTTTATATGGCGTAAACGCAAACCTAGATTAAAATTATCAGTACTTTATCTTCCAAATTCTATGGGGGGGCTGGATTTTCCAAATATTAAGATGTATCAGTTAAGTTCCCACCTGAGATACATTGCAGAGTGGGTTAGGAATGATTCTTCTTCTACTTGGTTAGATATTGAATCCTCCTTTTCACAATTTCCTTTAAGAGCTCTTCTTTTTGTTAAGAGCTTTCAAAACATAAAAGAGATGTATGATAATCCAATTATAGTTAATACTCTGAAAGCATGGAGATCAGTCTGTAGGCTTGAATCTCAATTGCCTTCTTTCTTTACCCCAATATTAAACAATACTGATTTCACCCCAGGAATTTTGGATGATGGGTTTAAACGTTGGTGTAATTTGAGACTTATTAGGCTTGGGGATATGTTTTCAGATAATAAATTAATGTCATTTGTGGAGTTAACTCAGAAGTACCAGTTGTTCAAACACGATTTTTTTTCGATTCCTCCAATTGAGACATTATATTACTAATAACACAACACTTGTTAGAAATTGTGAGATATCTTCTATTGAGAGGTTATTATTTTTATCATCGGGAAAAATGTCTTTGGGTAGATTTTATGGTGCTATGTGTTCAATTTCTTCTGCTGATACACAGACAATTAAAACTAAATGGGAGGAAGAGTTAGCTACTGATACTGATGATGAAACATGGGATGACATTTGGTCTCATGCTAAGAGAATATCTGTTTGTGCACGTACAAGAGAAATACAATTTAAAATCATACATAGACTCCATATTTCTCCTAACCGCAGGCATTTTTTTAACCCCTCTCTATCGCCTATGTGTTTAAAATGTAAAACTGAAGTAGGTACTTTAACACATTGTCTGTGGTCATGTAACAGACTGCAAAGGTATTGGTTTTTGGTGCTGGGGGAAATGGAAAAGATCTTTAATATGCAGTTGGATTTTGACCCAGTCTCATTGGTATTGGGTATACCTAATAAATGCATTGTTTCATTTGCTAACAAGAAATTGTATAATATTCTCTCCTTTGCTGCCAGAAAAAATATTTTACTTAATTGGATTAGTGATAAATCTCCATCACTTAAAGGTTGGCATAAGATAATTTTTGAACTGATTCCCCTGGAGTGTCTTACCTATGTATTACATCAAAAAACAGGCCTGTTTTATAAAGTCTGGACTCCATATCTGGACTATATGGAACCTCATCTTCGCCCTATTATACTACAAGGAATATTGTAATTGTGTAACTGTCTGGACATTTAACTTTTCTGCCCTATTCATTTTTTTTTTCCCTTCTTTCACTAATCTGTTATATATGGGGTAGTCCTGTTTTATTTAATAATCTGAGCTATGTGTGTGTGTTTTTTTTGTTGTTTTGTTCCTTTTGGGCGATGCCTTGTTATTTTTGTATTACAGTGGAAATTCAATAAAAATAATTATAAAAATAAAAAAAGTGACGTATAGGGAGTCTAAAACTCCTAAGAGTGTATTCAAAATAATTAATTAACAACAAAAGTGATAAAGTTAACTTTAATGTATGTGCATAACAACAAGCATATACAAAACATTTTATTTTTCATTAACCTATAAGAGTTTTCATCGTTGTAATAATATTTCAGAAGGCTGATAGGATTAAGACCAATCACAGTGGGTTTACTATTAATATTATTTGCTTCTGTCCAAAATAAAGCCAGAAAAGGCTAAAGAGATTCAATGAAATTTATGATTGGGGAGATTATAATCTGTCAGACTAATATCAAGCCTATTTTTAGAATTTAAATTGTGGATATGTATGGGAGAGCAACTGTCAGCAAATATTAAACAAATAAATTAATAACTTGATGCAGTTGTTTATTGGTTTGATCATACGGATCTCCCTCCCTGAAAAAAAAAAAATCCCTCACAAATCCCCAGTTTATAAATAGCCTACCTTTTAGCCAAGATGTT